TCTATTAAGGTTTTCCTGCTCCTCTACAGAGGGTTATAAGTGTATGACACAACCTGTGTACACATACCTCTATGGTGAAGGTATCTTTGGTAGACTCATATGTAACATTAAGTGTTAAAAGATGTCCATGGAAAGAGGCACCATGAGGTAGAATAGTTCGAGGAACAGAATAAAGGTCCTACGGGAAGAGAAGGACAATGATGAATACAGTGCTTGAAAACAAAACCAGTTTTATGATAGCATGTAATAAACCTGCTACAGCTGCACAGGCTTAAGTAGCTTTTACTGTTTTAATATTACTAGAAATTATGTTCTTAGTCTCATCTACTAAGAAATGACATATCTTACCTCTATAGTTATCACATAACGCTCTGCCAACAGCAATAGTCTCTCAATTATTACAAGTTTAGTTGACCTAGGGATAAGCACCCAAAACAAGAGTAACTTGTCATTGAAAATTAATCTCTGTGACAACAGGTAACTATCATGAATTAACTGTTTTCAAATACACAGCTGGTCCTTAAGGGTCTTGAGGTTATACTGAACTTAACTAACAAAACAGATTAAGAAGTTTTCTTAAGTCATACTGAGCTTCAGAAGAACCTTCACATTTCTACACGACCCAACTCTGCTCGTATTTAAGCCACCCACACTTAAGTACACATAAGTACAGCAGAAGGATGGAAAGTGCTCCTTTTCTCCCTTATTAAAAAAAATCCTATTGCCTCCCACATCTTGCCTAAGCTATCCCCTAAAACATAGATGACTTCAGCATTCTGTCTTTCAGTCTCGTTTGCCATGCTGGTTTTGTCAGAATTTTTTTGGAACTCAAATTACATTTTATTGGAATATTTAAAATGAGAGGTTTCTAGAACATACACCAATACTGAGAAGGGATCATAGAACACAAAGCTTTCAGCTAACACAGTCTCACAACAGTTTTAATTATCATTCAAAATCATTAGTTAAGTAGCTTGTAGTAAACATTCACTGCCATATTTATTCTTTTAAAGACAAACTTGCCTGTAAGGAGACTGAACTGATGTTGCTACTGTAGGCATAGCAGTTGCTGTAAGCATTTTTGTAGCTCTTGTAACAGCGTGCGTTAATGTTGGACCGCCAAGTGCTGAACTGGCTGCCTAGAATATAAAGAAGAGTATAAGTGCTGGTTTATACTGATGATTATTATGTTCTGGAGAGCTAAGAGAACAAGGAGTACTTGTGGAAATAAAATTTTCTTTAAATAGAATTATCACAATTAATTACCCTAAAGCTACAATACAAAGCCGGAAAAGGATGAAGACATAAGAACAATTAAAATTTGTCCTTTACCTCTAATCGCGTGTAACAATCTGCAATGAATTTCTTGTGCAGTGATACTGAATCCTGAAGATATGAAGGAAAAAAATAATCAGAACTTTAAAAGAATGTCACTGGAGTCACTGTTAAAAAGCATTATAATCTGGGCTCTATCAGTTTATCAGGGAGTGAATCTCCAGCTGTTAAAGCACCCTCACATTCTAATAAATGCTTACCTTTTTCAGTCTAGGAGTTAGATTAATATAGCTGTAATTTATTATCAATTGTATAGCTTCATTGGCAATTTCTTCATCAGGTGACTCCATTGCTATCTTCCAAATGAAATCCATTCCTATTAATTCCAGTTTTTCTACACTCT